AAACCTACACCTATGACTCGGGCATCCACTCCGGCGTCAACACCCAGGTGCCGTCCGTCAGCAGCAAGTGCCTCGGGGACGATGACGAGGTCTACGGGAAGCAGTACACCATCAAGAAGACGACCACCACGAGCTACTGCCAGGGAGGGAGCCAGGGCCAGAACCAAGCGCAAGGTAGGGGCTGTGGGGCTGGGCACGTCTGCGAGCTCAGCTGCTCAGCTCCTGCCTTCCTCCGCCTCCCCCATGAGCCATGCTCCTTCTGGGCACTCCTCCACGCTGCCTTCCACACCCCGGGAGTTGTTGCTGCCTAAAATATGCTTCCTCCTGTCCTCCTTCCCCGCGCTGAGCAGCTCTTGCGTAGGGGCGGCGTGCAGCCAGCCCGCACTGGTGCTGAGCTGTGCACACACATCTGAGCGCGCCGGTGGGTTGGCTCGAGATAGGAACAGCCGATCCCGGCCCACGGATCGGCCGTCTGCTCTGCTGCCTGTCTGCCTGCTCGGGAAACCTGTCTCGGCGCTGCTGGCAGAGCTGCCAGCGTGTGCCGTCAAGCCCCGTCGACTGTCCCGTCTTCTCTCGCTGCTGCGGAGGCGAAGCAGACAGACGCAGCCCCCAAAGCCAAAGGAGATGCTTCCTCCAGCTTTAGCCCTTCGCTCTGGTTTGCTGCGCTCGCTTCTGCTTCTCCCCCATCAGCCATGGGCCCTGGAAGGTTTAATCGCCAGCTCCCCCTGGGAGGCAGAGCCCCATGGAGAGGGCTGAGCCCTCCCGAGCCCCGCACGGTCCCTGTGCCGCAGGGGTGGGGACAGCGGGTGGCTGCTGCAGCATCTCTGCCCCTTGGCTTGTCCTGGCATCCTCGATGGGGAAGTTCTCTGTGTCCTTCTCCTAATCCCCAGTGCCAGCTGGTCCGAAGCTGCAAATATCCGTAATTTTTTAATTAATAGGTCTTGTGTGACAACTGCCTAATCATGCTGCCTAATTGAGTGTTGTCTTATCTCTGTGCTGCCGTATCTGTTTACACTTTGAAGCACCGGCTCCTTGCAGAGCGTGCTGGGACTGCTGACGTTGCCGGTGTCATTGCACTAAGCTCTGGCTCAGCTAATTGAAATTGGAAAGCAGGGCTGGGAGCGTTCCTCGGAGAGAGCCCGAATCTAACGCTGCCTCCCCGTCTACCCCTGCAGCAGACATGGAGGCTCAGCTGGCCATGACCCGGGCCCAGCGCGTCCGGGCCGCCATGTACCCCGAGACGGTGGAGGACCGCTCGCTGCTCATCACCACCCAGCTGGAGGGGCAGCAGACCAACGTGCAGCGCCTGGCAGAGCCCTCGCAGATGCTGAAATCGGCCATCGTGCACCTCATCAACTACCAGGACGACGCCGAGCTGGCCACCCGCGCCATCCCGGAGCTCACCAAGCTGCTCAACGACGAGGACCCGGTAAGGACGCGTGGTTTTCCTGCGCGTGTCGCTGGGCTTCCAGCTCCCGGGCAGCACAGCCGGGCTCCCGTCCTCCCAGGGCTCCAGGGCCACGACCCGGCTCCTTCCTCTTGACAAAGCTCTGCGGGTGCCTCTGCGCTGCCGCAGGG